CTTAGCTTCTGAGATCTGATGAGATCGCGTCAGCCTGGGCTATCCAAGTCAGGGCTTGGACTACAAATAGCACTGAGGGATTAAAAGAGGTGGAATTCATTGTCATTCATGACAAGTGCATGCGTGTGCAAAGAGGAAAATTAGCGAGACCTATACTTTAAGCTAGACAGAACCTTCAACATAAAAGTGTAGTTCACACAAGGCATTTGAGACATGTATACAGGTACCAAATCAGAGTATCATTGGGGAACTGAGGTGTGCATAGAAGTCACATGTCCCCATTTTATATTTGTCCATTGATTTCAAGGGACCCAAACTTTGTGCTGGTTTGTTTAAATCAGTGCATATTTGCATATAGTTGGAGCCCTAGTAATGTCTGTAAGATACTCCACCCCTTCTGTATTGTTTATTTGGATGTGATTCTCAAACTTGTATGTAGGAATCAGGCAACACATGACATTTATGGGAGAGATGTTGGTGGTCCTCGTTATTTTACAGATAATGGCTTGTTTGGGTCATGATGCCAAAATTGGAATATGGATGGGTGTTTGGAATATATTCATATGATAAAGCACTGAAAAAAAATTTATATAATACATTAAGATGGGTAGCCGTGTTAGTCTGTCTGTAGCAGTAGAAAAGAGCAAGAGTTCAGTAGCCCCTGAAAGACTAACAAAATTTGTGGCAGGGGAGGAGCTTGCACGAGTCACTGCTCACTTCTTCAGATACCTCGTGCAAGCTCCTCCCCTGCCACAAACTTTGTTAGTCTTTCAGGTGCTACTGAACTCTTGCTCTTTTCTGTTTATACAATACACTACAAAATCTGGTTGAAATATTACAGGCTTGTGAAGAAGAAGAGGAGATTGGATTTATACCCCGCCCTTCACTTGGAGTCTCAGAGCGGCTTACAAACTCCTTTCCCTTCCCCTCCCCACAACAGACACCCTGTGAGGTGGGTGGGGCTGAGAGAACTCTGACACAAACTGCTCTTTCAGGAACAGCTGTGCCAGAGCTTGCGACTAACCCAAGGTCACATCAGCAGGTGCAAGTGGAGGAGTGGGGAATCAAACCCGGTTCTCCCAGATTAGAGTCTGCACACTTAAACCACTACACCAAACTGGCTCTCAAACCAAACTGGGAAACCAAGATCATATTTCTGCCAATGAGAAGGCCTCCTGGCCTCCATTAAAGAGTTCTAAGATAGTGAGAGTTCACGCTGTCCTAACCAGGTGGCACTTCATTTCTCTCCATAGATACACAGTAGACGATGTTCCTTTCTCCATCCCAGCCACGTCTGAAACAGCTGACCTCAGTAACATTATTAACAAACTACTGGAAGCGAAAAATGGTAGGTCAATTTTGAGAAAATGGTTTGCAAGATTTTGTCCTGTCTTTTAAGTTTCTTTTCAACGTCACATTTGTATCTTACCCATCTGTCACGATCTGTGCAGGACTGGGAGCAAGGCCTAGCGCAGCCTGGTCCCAGGAGAGACCTGTCGGCAGTAGAAAGCAGACAGCCTACAATCCCCATAATGCTTAGAGAGGGTTATAGCCAATCTAGAGTGCAGAGATTCTGTGAGGAGAGTCTGTCTTAAGCTGTTAACTGTGGAAAACGGGGTTCTTTTGTCTCTCTCTGCGGCCTGGTCACTGCGGGGACAGGCTGGTCTAGGGGAGAGAAAGATCCCTCACTGCTGTCATCTCTCTGTGGCCTGGTCACACTGAGGGGACGGCTGGTCTGGGGGAGAGCAAGATTCCTCACTGGGACAGAGTGAGAACAGGTAGCATAGCCTGGTATAAAAGGCAGGCTGTGGGCCTGGAAGTAGTAACAGTTAAGGAGTAATCAGTAGCTGCGTTAGCATTGTGTTTCTTTTGGCCTTTCAACACTGCTATGTATTTTAAAGCACCTTGTCTTGTGTTGTTTTCCCCTGCCCACTACTGTAAGAATAAACCCTTTTTGTTTCACTGTTTCTCTGCCTGGTCATCATGCTTACGTTCTCGGCTACAAAGGGGCAATGTGAAGGGGCTTGGGAAGGTACCCTGGTCCTTCTCAAGGGACCTAAGTCCAGGGTGGTGGCGGCAGAAGGTGGCAACCCACTGGGGTCATGACACCATCATTCCACAAGTCCCAGATATTGTGTTCTTATAACAGCTTTATACACTGGGTGATGGTGGGTTGGATTCTGTGGTTATGTGACTGGAAGATGCTTGCGGACTGGAAGAGGCCGGGCTGAGCGTCAAGGGACCTCCATGGACAAAAAGTCACTGGGCATGTGGAGGAGGGTGCGTGCAGTGTGTAAGGGGAAGGCAGGGCAAAATACACCCCTGCCCCCACACACAAACATTCCATTGTTCCAAGACTGCGATGGGGGACAATTTTTGAGTGATTGTATTCCTCCTCCTGACTGCAACCCTTTTCCCCTTTCCTGTTGGCTTTTTGTCCACTGGGGTCCCCAGTGTTCCCTCTAAGCTGAGTTAGCGTGAGCTAGCTCACAGTTTTGTAGCCTCTGGCTCACACATTTTTGTCTTGGCTCAGGAAGGATGGCTCCAGAACAAACGAATCTGTGCAGTAGCCAAATCACTTGCTCACAACTTTAATGCCAGTAGCTCGCAAAGTAGAATTTTTGCTCATAAGACTCCACAGCTTAGAGGGCGCATTGCCCATGACCCCCCAGAAGCGCCTTTTGAGTGGGGCCAGGATGGAGAACCCCCCTCCGTCACTGGTGCTGTGCAACGCCAGGTCCATTAAGAACAAAACTACAATCCTTCGGGGTTTTGTACAGGAACAACAAGCTGACCTGGCGTGCGTGACTGAGGCCTGGGTGCGGGAGGGTGAAACGGTAGCTCTCGCCCAGCTTGCCCCGCCTGGGTTCTCAGTCCTCCACCAGTCATGGACTAGGGGGTGGGGGGGAGGAGTGGCTATCTTCATTTGGGAGGCTTACTCTTTCAGGGCGCTTCCGTCAGTGGAGTTTGCGGATGTTGAGTGTGTCGGTCTGATGCTGGAGAGTTGTTGAGTGTTTGGCAGTTTGGTTGGTGTACCGACCGCCTAACGCACCAGCCAGTAGCCTGTCGTCCCTGCTGGAGGCCGTATCAGGCTGGGCGTTGGAGCACCCTAGGCTGATTGTCTTGGGTGATTTCAACGTCCATGCCGAGGACGTGACCTCCAGCCGGGCTACGGACCTGGTGTCATCTATAGCGACACTGGGACTCTCTCAATTCATCTCAGCTCCCACGCATCGGGCCGGTCACATGCTCGATTTGATCTTCGCGGCGGGGGTGATGGTGGACTGGATCACTGCAGAGGCAGTGCCATGGTCGGACCACCTGGCCCTGAAGGCCCGTCTGAACGTTCCACCCCGACCTTGTTTAGGCGGTGAGCGGATTTTTGCTTGCTCGCAGCACCAAATGGATCCAATGCGATTCCAGATGGCCCTGCGGGTTGACGTGCCTTCTGCTCATGCGACCACAGAATCCAGTCCCATGAGTTGACTAAAAGCCAGCAGCGATCCTCCTAGCACTGAAAAAAACTTCAACCCACGTCTCCAAGCCTAAATCTGTGTGCTAGCTCAGACTGCTGCTATCTGTATCTGCCTAAGATTAGAAAAGCACCCAGTTCAGTTGTGTCATGATCGTGTGGCCAGTTCATGCAATCTGTCATTTGCTCATATTAGCAGTAGCCCTCTTCTTCCCTGAGTTCACACTTGGAGGTTAAGATCATATTATTGCTGATAAAGCCAGGAATGAGTTCTGTGATTGCTTTTGTGGTTATTTCCCACATTCCACAACAGCAGAAAATTACTGTTGGCTTTCTCCTCTGGCCACCACTTGGGACCAGGCCTTCGGATTTCCCTTCTTGGGGCTTTCCTCATATAACTGTCTAGTATTCCCTAGCACAGAGGTGTCGAACATTTGTCATGAGGGCCAGATCTGACATAAATGTCACTTTGTCGGGCCAGGCCATGTGTGCCATAAAATGTAATGCCAGGTACGGGAGATATATAGGACTTTATAAAGGACAGAGGCAAACCCAGTTAACTATGTTTCTTACCCAAAATACAAACATGGTTTAAACAGTAACACTCTTACAGTATTTCCTTAAAGTATCTCCCTGATGCCCTCCCTCCCACTTCCATTGCCCATTACTCATGAGCACTGGGACAGTATACAGGGACAAAATGCACAGCCTCTGTCATCTGGCAATAAAGGTAACAGCCAGTTGCTCACGGGCTGGCTAAGAGCCCTGGACAGGCCGGTTCTGACCCGTGGGCTGTATGTTTGACACCCCTGCCCAAGGGCTTTCCGAGGAGCTATATGTGCAAGAAGTATATTGTTTGAAGTCTTCCAAAGGATTGTTCAGGTGGGAATAGCAGTATACTCTTGGATCCAACTTGCTGGATATGTGGTTTGTATCAACAGTAATGACTACCATGTTCTGCAAAGAATGCATGGTTCTTACCTGCCAAGTGAAGTTTTGTCCTTCGTTAAACTTCTGTAATGTTACTGATATTGTGTGTATTCTGCAGGCATAAACTGGCTTTCAGACGTATTTGGATTCATTCTCCATTCTGATTCAAATGGAAATTGCATTTTCTGGCTGTATGATGAAGTTATGCATCTAATATCTTTCAATTATTTGTCTCTAGAGAGCCACAGATATGTGGAATTTGACTTCCTTATCAAAGGTCAGTTCTTGCGAACGGGCTTGGTCAAACACATGGAAACAGAAAATATCCCTACGGTAAGTTATTTGGGTGGGTTTTTTAAGTGATTTAATAAAGTTTTTAACTGGTGTTCAGGTGGGGGGGCGGGGGGGGGGGGGGTTGATGTCTTTCCTTGCTGGGACTCTCCTACATCAAGGATGCCCTGGAAAGAACTCTGATAACCAGCCACCACCACTCAGGACCTCCTGAGAAGGTCTAGGAAGGAATTCTTAACCCCACTGACCTGCTGAGAAGGTATCTTTCTAGCCCAATACTAGAAGATAACAAAATAACAGGGTAAAAATCTTAGAAAATACCTTATAACCAGCTATGTAGTGCCCATGCAGTCTAGCATGTAGGAAAGTGTACTAAGCAAAGTGAAAAAATGTCTTTATAAAAAGGTTTTTTATAAAAGAGCAGGGGGAGGAAAAGATTGATTGGATTCAAAGAACTGGTGCAAAAGGGCAAAACAAAACACAAAGAAAAGGCACACAGCAACACCGTACAGATATGTGCAAATGAAAAGCAATACAGTTGAACTAACGAAGCTAAACACACATTATTTAAGCTGTAGCAGGTTCCCCAGAACCTGTACAGAGTTCCTTGCAGTAACAAGAAGTTGGAGGAATCCTTAACCTTACCTGACCTCCTGCGGACTCAGTTTCTGCTGAATGAAAACTGAAGAAAAGGGAAAATCCCAATTTTTCCACTGAAAAAAAGAACGTTTTCACACCATACATTTTGAGCCTGAAAAACCGCATCATAGGAAGCATTTCACTCAGTCTAAATGGAGAAAAAAATGTCTTTCCCAGTTGCCCCAAATTTAGTCATTTTTCCGCTGGAAAAAATGGGGGAGGGGAATCCTGCGGCTTTCCCCCCTGGAATTTTTTTGGGTCTTCACATCTCTTGAGAACCTAAAGAACCCTTGCCAGCCAAATACACTGCATTGAGAAGGGTCATCATAGATCAAAACAGCTGAATAACTAAACAGTCCACGTCCCAGGCTCTGGTAGAGTTTCAGGCTATTCTGCTGCATTATCTGCGAGACCGCCTCTCCCCCTATGAGCCCCAAAGAGCTTTATGATCTGCTAATCAGCGACTCCTGGTGGTCCCCAGCCCCAGGGAAGTCTGTCTTGCCTCAACTAGGGTCAGGGCTTTTTCGGCCCTTGCCCCTACCTGCTGGAATGAGCTCCCATATGAGATCAGGGCCCTGCAGGACCTTTTACAGTTCCACAGGGCCTGCAAGACAGAGCTCTTCCGCCAGGCTTTTAGTTGAGGCAGTGTTCCCCCCCCCCATTGGGCCTCCCCTTCAGTGGGTCAGATCTCTGTTACCATTTGGGAACCCCAATTTGAAATAGACCTCATCTGTTGAGGCTCTGATTAGAAGCATAGGAATATTATTGTGTTTTATCTGGTGTATTTTAATTGTTTGCATATTATATTTGATGGAACTTGTCCTGAGCCTGCTATGTGGGGAGGGTAGGATACAAATCTAATTAAATAAATAAATGGTTGTTAATTCACAATAGCTGGCTGACCACTTTCTTGGTATTTTTTCTACCTGCAGGAGGAAGTAGTGGAAATAGAGTACTTAGAGAAGTACACGGCCCCTCAGCCAGAACAATGTATGTTTCACGATGACTGGATCAGTTCGATTGCAGCTACAGAAGAATGGTAAGGGCGGTCTATCAAATTGTTCAGGTTTCCCCACTGAAGTGTACTTTGCTGTCACGTGGTCCTGCTCAGAAGCAACTGTATCATTTTGTCCACACTCCTCCTTAAACCCACTCTTGTTAATATAAATTTAACAAGAGCAAGCCCAGCCCTTCATTGCTGGCTGTTGGTGCCAGCAACGACGTTCCCAGTGGCCTCCCCAGCGGTGGGTGGCCTGGATGAGCCCAACGCCCCTTTGGGAGCCCCTTCACTGTCGATGGGCTCAGCAGTGGTGGCAGCTCTGGTGGTGGCAAAGAGCTTGGGAGCGGCTTTCCTGGCGGCAGCAGGCTTGGCGGCAACGATGGCTGGCCTGGCAGTGGCGGCAGGCTCGGCAGTGGCATTTGGACTGGGCTCCTGGGCCAGGACTACGATGTCTCTGTTGGGGGGCTGTGGCAGTGTGAGTGAATCTGGCCCGGACAGTTGCATTGTCTCCGCATGTGCAGATGTGTTTTATTTGGGGGGAATTTAAGCCCCCCAATTTATTTTTTTCCAGTTTTCAGATTTTTCCAAGTTTGCAGGAAAACTTGTTTGGGGTAAGTGTGCCCCCTATCTGTGGATTTAGATATCCGCAAATAGAGGGCATGTTGAGAATTAGATATACAGATGTGGGAGGTCCCTGATTAGGTGTCTAGTTTTTTTGAGAACCAGCCATAGGTGTTCTGCCTCCCCCTCCACCCACTAGGGCTAATACAGCTCAGGAGGCTGATTTTCATCTGGGAGATGTCCTGAAGGAGGAAGTGTTTTCTACCTCAATCCAAACTGCCCTCCTCTTCCCATGACTGATTTTAAACAAAATTAAAGATGTTGGGAAATCCAGTCACACATCTCTCTTGACTCACCTTGATGGTTTCCCATCCCAATACTACCCAGGACTGACCCTGCTTAGCTTCTGAAGTCTGAGGAAATCAGGCTACCCTGGGCTAATCGGGGTTTCAGGTATGGATGCATGTGACCAAATGGACTGGACTGACACAGGGAGCCATCCTCTACCTTAAGTGGAGATGGAAGAAAGCACTGTCCTTTGCCGAATGATCTTGTTTTCCAGCAGCAATGCTGGGTCAGATATGAACCCCATCAAATAATGGGAAGCTCAGTACTCCAGAAGACCTCGGCCTAATCCGTAGCATCACCTCCATCTTGGCAGGATTCATGTTCAACTTGCTCACCCTTAGCCGCTTGACCACAATGGAGAGGCAGTGGCTCAGGACAGCTACAGCAGTGTTGTGTGATCCCCCGGGGGTCCCCACCAATGCTCCCTTTAAGCTGGTGGAGAGGCAGTGGTTCAGGACAGCTACAGCAGTGTTGTATGATCCCCCAGAGGTCCCCACCAATGCTCCCTTTAAGCTGAGTCTTGTGAGCAAAAATTCTACTTTATGAGCTACTGGTATTAAAGTTGTGAGCGAGCGATTTGGCTACTGCATAAATTAGTCTGCTCTAGAGCCATCCTTCCTGAGCTAAGAGAAAAATGTGTGAGCCAGAGGCTAAAAAACTGTGAGCCACCTCACACTAACTCAGCTTAGAGGGAACACTGGTCCCCAAACTCTTTGAGCCTGCGGGCACCTTTGGAATTCTGGCACAGTATTGTGGAGCAGGCACAAAACGGCTGCCGTGGGAGGCCGTGCCAGCCACAAAAAGGCTGCCACAGCTTATCTTTAGTCACACAATGAAAAGCTTCTGCCAAAGTAATGTTTTAAAAATCTGCACACGCAGTCAGATCTCCAGTGGCCAATCAGAAGCATTGCTGGGTTAAGCCCCACCCACTTCCTAAAATTCTTGGCGGTTGCCAGGAAAGGCATCAGGGAGCACTGGGGCTTCCATGGGCACCACATTGGAATATAGAACTAGTTGTCATCAATAAACATAAAGAATAAACCGCATAGGAGATAATGCTGAACCCCGTAGAACCCCAAAAGACAGTGCCCAGGTTCAAGTGGCAAACCCTCAGAGTTTGATTCATCAGAAAATATTTAAACCACTCCAAAGCACATTCCTTGAGATGTCCTGCTATTTCAAATGTTTGAACAGCTGCTGATAAATCCAATAATAAAACCAATTACAATACTGGTTTTCTATCTGGAAAGGTGTTCTTCATGAGCAAAAGCATTCAAGTATTAAGTTGAACACAGACATGACCTGTGTAGTGTTTCAGATGTTCCATGTAACGTGCCTGAAGAAAAAGCTATGTTTTTTTGTTTCTGAATTCTGTAGGATTTTAACAGGCTCTTATGATCAGACTTCCCGAATCTGGACAGTAGAAGGCAAACCTATAACAACTCTTGCTGGGCACGTAGATGTGGTAAAAGACGTGGCCTGGGTGAAGAAAGGTGAATAGACTTCCGTTTGTTTGAGACTTTAATACACCGGAAAATACGCCAGCCTGAACGCTTCAGACTTAATTCATCAGTCATTTTGATTGTTGCCATTTATCTTTCTCTTCTTTCAAAGACCTTAAGGTGGCATACATTGTTTTCTCTTCCTCCATTTGATCCTCACAATAAACCTCTGAGGGGGTTTAGGGTGAGATAGAAAGATGGGTCTCAGATTACTTTAGTGAGCTTTTAAGGCTGAGTGGAGACTCAAACCTGGGTCTTCCTGGTCTCTGTCCTGCACCCAGGCCCATAGCTATGGTGGGGCTTTTGGGGGCCCCGCCCCTTTCTTAAACACACAGCCCACAAGAATTTCTCCTGTAAATGCTTTTTTCAATCATTTAAAAACTTTTTTAAAAGGTGTGTGTTCCTTTAAGCAGAGTGAGGTGCTGTAGTTGACTAATTCCCGCACTTAGCAAGGGGGTTGGAGTAGGTGATGTCTAGGATCCCTTCTAATTGTGTGTTAAGAAACTGTTAGCTTTCTTGACTATAGAAGTCATCATCCCCACTTGCCAGCTTCTTATCAGAATTGTTGCTTAGACTGGCAGAAGTGATTAACTTGCAGCAGCTGAGAACTGTCATCTAAAGTGGTTGACCACTTGCAATTTAGAGTTCTATCCTGGTAACAGCCTTCTATTGACTGTTGGCTAAATGGCTTTTCTTTCTGCACTAACTTAAGCCCCACCAGGACAAAATTTGTCCCACAAGCCACAAAATCCTGGCTGTGGGCCTGCCTGCACCCTAACTGCTACACCACACTGGCTCTTATGTAGTACTTGTAATGTTCCACAACATTGCCAGCTAGAAATTAGAGCTACCCACTGAAAGCATGAGTACGTGGGATTTGATCTAAGACTTCTGAGAGGCGAGGATCATGTGTTTCTTTGAGCTGTGTTAGCAATAAATGTGATTACCTGGGGGGAAACGTACAAGGGATTTTCATATTGTAGAATTATACGTTTCCATTGACTTTGTTGTACCATCCTGCATGCTCTCAATATGCTAGGCTTAATTATGGCTTGCTGCTGTTTAGGGTACGTTATGTATCTGTGTGTGGTTTCCTTTTTTCAAAACTTCACTTTGTTATTAGAGAGCCAGTTTGGTGTAGTGGTTAGGAGTGCGGACTCTAATCTGGGAGAACTGGGTTTGATTCCCCACTCCTCCACATGCAGCTGCTGGTGTGACCTTGAGTCAGTCATAAGTTCTTTCAGAGCTGTTCTCTTAATGGCAGTTCTCGAGAGAGCTCTCTCAGCCCCACCTCCCTCACAGGGTGTCTGTTGTGGGGAGGGGAAGGGGAAGGGAGTCGAAGCCGCTCTGAGACTCATTCGGGTAGTGAAGGGCAGGGTATAAATCCAGTCTCCTCCACCGCCTCCTTCTTCTGTGGAGGTAACTGAATAGTTGACTTCAGAAGAGACTCTACTTCCTCTGCTTCTGTGCCTTCAGATGGCTTGTCGTGCCTTCTACTGAGCGCCTCTTTGGATCAGACAGTCCTGCTCTGGGAGTGGAATGTGGAAAAGAACACGGTGAAAGTGCTTCACCGTTGCCGGGGACATGCCGGAAGCGTAGAATCCCTGGCGGTTGACGGCTCAAGAACTAAAGTAAGTTTCTTCAGCTTTACCCATGGATGTACTTGAGGACTTCCTTGGATTCATTTTGCTTCCCAAGCTCCCAAAGACAGGCAGGCAGAAGTGTTACGTCTTTGCATAAATGACTGCTACTCCTTTTTAAAACACCCAGCTCAAAATTCTGCCATCTGCTGATTTACTGGAGCTTGGATCCAAAGCCTTGCTTCAGTTCATGGGTCACCCTTCTTTGCCATGGAGTGGTCCGCTGCTGTGAAGTTCATTCCTACATAAGAACATAAGAGAAGCCAATGTTAGATCAGACCAATGGCCCATCTAGTCCAACTCTGTGTCACACAGTGGCCAAAAATACCAGGTGCCATCAGGAGGTCCACCAGTAAGGCCAGGACACTAGAAGCCCTCCCACTGTTGCCCCCCCCCCCAGCACCAAGACTACAGAGCATCACTTGCCCCAGATCGAGAGTTCCTATCTATACCTTGTGGCTAATAGCCCCTGATGAACCTCTGCTCCATATGTGTATCCAATGCCCTCTTGAAGCCGTCCATCCTTGTAGCTGCTACCACCTCCTCATTCCTCATCTGTTTTATGCAAGACCAGTGTGCCAAAAAGCACCTAGCACCAGCGGAAAGCACTGCATACGCAACACATAAGATGGTATGGACCATAAACCCAAGGTTGTCTCTTGCCATGACATGTGTTCAAGGTAAAGATGTGGGGGGGGGGGGAGACTAATGGAGATAACTGGTAGGAGGGAGACTTACTACTTGACTACTTTTTAAATTAAAAGTTGGTGGGTTCTCTCCCCCCCCTTTTTTATTGTTTCTTAGTTTTGCAGTGGATCCTGGGATACAATGTTAAAGATCTGGTCTGCAGGTAAGATCTTTCTCTCACACGTCTTGTTGTTTGGTTTTAGTGGTTTGTCTTTGTTTCATGCTGGAGTTCAAGGTGTTTTGCATGGGATTCTCAGGAGATCTCCTATCCAGGCAGCGTCTTGAGTCAGACTTCTCTAGCATCGACAAACGGCTGTTTCATGCATCCTTCAACCAGTGTTCCCTCTAAGCTGAGTTAGAGTGAGCTGGCTCACACATTTTTGTCTTAGTTCAGGAAGGATAGTTCCAGAGCAAACTAATTTATGCGGTAGCCAAATTGCTCGCTCACAACTTTAATGCCAGTAGCTCACAAAGTAGAATTTTGGCTCACAAGACTCCACCGCTTAGAGAGAACATTGCCTTCAACTATAATCTGACCCAGAGTGCCAGGTGTTCCACACACCCAATAATGTTCTAAATGCTGCATATTAAAACTACATACATTTGCAGAGTTACAGTATAATTAGGTTCCTCTGATTTCTAGGGCATTACTCAGAAACCAGTGGGAGTTTAGGTAATTGCTTTGTGAAATCACCTTCACTGATTTATAGTTAGAAATGCAGAATATACATAAAACCTGTTTGGGTTTCTGTGCAGAATTCTAGATTTTCACCTGAGCATAACAGTACTGAGAGTTGGGAGAAATACAGTGCCTCCTTAGCTGAACTTGATCACTGCAGATCACCAATAACCCTTTCAGAGTGTTCCTCTGTATTAGTGGAGTGCAGGTAAAAATACTCACTCACTGGTTTGTTGTACAATCGGCAACCTATACATGGGCTCAACCTTTCTTAAGTGCAACTAAAGCAGTTTGTTTCTTTTGGGACATTTAAGCCCACGTGGCTCAGAGGTTAAGACGCTGAAACTGCAGATCAGAAGGTACGTAGCTCGGCAGTTTGAGACCCTAGTGCCGCGTGATAGAGTGAGTTCCTGTCTCTGGCCCCAGCTCCTGCCAACCTAGCTGTTTGAAAGCAAGAAATTGCAAGAAGATAAATAGGTACCGCTTTGGTTGGAAGGCAACAGTGTTCCGTGCGCCTTTGGACAGCGCTGGCTCTTTGACTTGGAAACAGAGCACCGCCCCCTAGAGTCGGATTCAACTGGCTTTCGAGCAAGGGAAACCTTTACCTTTACTATAGATGGGTCAAACTTGGTACTGTATTTCCAGAAATGAAAGGAGACAGAGAAGATTTAAATAATACACCTTGATGTAGGATAAAAGGAACAGCATAAAAAAAGCAGAGAGAGAGAGCGCAAATTCAAAACTAAGCAGTTGATCCAGCAGAATATCATATACACCCAGAGAAAGGTAGTACACAATGTAGTCCCTATGTAAAGATACTGGTGGGTGTGTGGGTGGGTTTGCTGCCTGAACAGGGAATAAAAGGGAGACTGTAAAATATACTTGGTCCAAGAAGAGGAGGAGGGGATCCATGGTCTATTATTCCTTGATGACTGGGGGTGGGGGGAGATGGTCCTTAGGCTGGACAGAATCCTTGCCTGGTTCTAAAAGGGTACCTGAATCCTAATTGATGTCTGAGTTGCAAGGCTGGCCAAATCCAAATTCTTGAGCCAAAGAGCCTCTTTTATACTTTTTTTTTTTGTCTGCTTGAATTTGAATTTGGAGGTAAAAATCCAGGGTTTTTTGGGTGGAGCTTCAAAGGGCCGCTGAGAGACTGGCAGCATATGTGGGGAACTTGGCTGAATTAAAACCCAAAGACAAAGGGCCATGGTTGAAATTGGCCTAGTTGAGGCCATGCGTCTCTGGGCAAGGCAGGATACCTGCTTCCATTCTGATTAGTTTTAATACTCTATGAGGGCAATACAGCATTCACAGGTATCAGCCAGGTGGAGTTAAAGTAATTACCAGACATCCAAGGCAGACCCTTGACAGGTACCCTTGGGGCCCTCGTGGGCTTGGTTGGCATTTTAGTTCCACTGTATGTATGACTAGTTTTAAAGTTCTCTTTCATGGCAGAGAATGTGCTCCAGAAAATGTGGGAGGGACCAATGCTCCCTCGAAGCTGTGGAGCCTTGTGAACAAACATTCTACTTTGTGAGCTGCTGGCATTAAAGCTGTGAGTGAGCGATTTGGCTACTGCATAAATCAGTTTGCTCTGGAGCCATCCTTCCTGAGCGAAGACAAAAATGTGTGAGCCGGAGGCAAAGAAACTGTGAGCTAGCTCAACCTCACTCAGCTTAGAGGGAGCACTGAGAGCAACCCTAGTGGCCATTTCCCCTTGACTAGTGGAGTGGCAGCATCAGAGGTGCAAGATTCCAAGGGTGGGGGCCTTCTGGGTGTCTTATACCTGGCAGGGGGTGCCTTCTGGACAACAGGTTTGGGTATCGTCATTTTCCAGTAATTTTTTTTTCATATTTCAATCCTTTGGAACACCATGCATCAAACAAAGGTCCATTGTGAAGCTGCTGTTCATTGGCAAATTTGGTGTTTCCCACCACCCTTTTCTCCCATCAGCCCCTGATTCTGGCGATCATGGAACCTGTGTGAACACAAAAATCATGCTAACAGGGGAGATGACCCAAATTACCCTCAACTCACTTTTGCACAAATAGCGTATCATAGATTACAGCAAAGCTTTTGACTGTCTGGATCATGAAAAGCTATGGTTGGCTTTTAAAGGAAATGGGTATGCCGCAGCATTTGATTGTTTTGATGTGCAATCTATACTCCAGACAAGAGGCCACTGTTAGGACAGACTATGGAGAAACAGAATGGTTTCCAGTTGGCAAAGGTGTCAGACAAAGATGCATTTTATCTCCCTGTCTCTTCAGTCTGTATGCAGAACACATCATAAGGAAAGCTGGATTAGATTTAGATGAAGGTGGAATGGAAATTGGTGGAAGGAACATTAACAGTTTGAGATCTGCAGATTACACCATGTTATTGGCAGAAAACAGTGAAGACAGCTGCCCTGAGCCTGCCTCGGTGGGAAGGGCGGGGTATAAATTCAACTAATGATCAATAAAAAAATAAATAAATGACTGCTGATGCAGGTTAAAGCAGAATTAAAGCTGAACGTTAAGACAACAAAAGTAATGACTACTGGGGAGTTACACAACTTTAAGGCTGATACTGAAGAAACTGAAATTGTTCAAGATTTTCTATTCCTTGGATCCATCATCAACCAAAAGGGGACTGCAATTAGTCAGGAGATTGACACTGGGCAGGGTAGCCATGAAGGAGCTAGAAAAGATTCTTGAGTGTAAGGATGTGTTGCTAGCGACCAACATCAAGTTGATTCATGCCATCCTATTCCCCGTGACTCTGTATGGGGGAATAGACTATGTGTAGCCTCAACCAGGGCCAGGGTTTTTTTGGCCCTAGCCCCAGCCTGGTGGAACATGATTGAGATCAGGGCCCTGCAAGACCTGTTACAGTTTCACAGGGCCTGCAAAATGGAGCTGTTCCGCCAGGCCTCCCTTTTGCTGCTGCATGAGATCATTATGGCTCGGCGCTGGCCCATCTGTTCCGGCTGTAGGAACTGAAACTGGATATACTGCACTGCCCACTTTAGATGTTCTAAACTGGTTTTATTGTATTGATTTAATATTGTTATTTATTATGTTTGACCTATTTTAAGATTGTATTGAATTTATTGTCGTGAGCTGCCCTGAGCCCGCTTGCGGGAAGGGTGGGATATAAATAAAAATAATAAATAAATAACGTAGGACAATGCAGAAAGCTGAAGGGAAGAAAGTAGATTCCTTTGAAATGTGGTGTTGGAGGAGAGTTTTACGGATACCATGGGCGGCCAAAAAGACCATTAAGTGGGTTCTAGCCTGAACCTCTCCCTAGAAGTTAAATGGCTAATCTGAGGCTATCGTACTTTGAAAAGACAAGAGACACTGGAAATACAATAATTGCTAGGAAAAGGGGAAGGCAGCAGGAAAAGAGGAAGACCCAACATGACATAGACTGACTCAATAAAAGAAGCCACGGCCTTCAGTTTGCAAGACCTGAACACGGTTGTTAACGAGAGGACGTTTTGGAGGATGTTAATTCATAGGGTATTGGCAGCATCTCTGGAGGAGTGGAGGAGCAATTTCACCAGGTTCCCCTACCTTACTACCACCCTTTAGGCTGCACAGCTTTTTATCCATGTGATCTCCAGAATCAGTGTTTTGGAAGTCATGGGAGTGGAGTGGCAGGAAAGATCAGTGTCTGCAAACACCCCAGTACTCTGCTGGATCCAACCCTTTTGAACCTGCATTGAAGTAAGAGGCCTGCTACTGCATGTGGCATTTCATCCCCTTTTGTTCCCCCCCATTTACACACTGTGCAAATTTCCTGCCTCTGAGAGAAATGGGTTGTAATCCATGAAAGTTTATGGCACAATAAAATTATTAGTTTTGGATTCCTGTGGCACCGAAATGTAAATGGTCTCTTTATTGCCAGTGGGATTAATATTTAGTTGGAAATTATTCGTGCTGTCTTCAAGTGGCACCAAACTTACGAATAAGCGAGCTTATGGATAATGGTCAGAGCTGCAACTTAATTCCTAAAGCCAAATATCCAGGTTTGAGAGCACCTTAGAAATACATTTTATTGGGTTTTGCCTGTTTTGAATGCCCCCTAGAGAGCACTTGGATCCTAAAACATGGGCAATGGACTTTCATGAAAAAGTGTTAATATTCACTGGTATCTTTGGAAAAACTTCACAGATCTCTGACATTTGAAGCGGATTATATATTTTTGAGTTGACTTGAACTTTATGGATTCATTAAAACATTTAAATATTTTACACCGAAAGGTTTGTAGTAATGAGGAGCTGACCAATTTGATTTTCTTTTTTTTTACTCCAGTGCCTACAGATGAAGAAGACGAAATGGAAATGGAGGAAGTAGCTGACAGGCCAAGGAAAAAGCAGAAAACTGAACACTTGGGACTCACAAGAGTAAGGCGAAACTGGGTTGTATAGAGTTCTTGAGTGTGAGGAGGGGAGGGGATATTTGAAACCTGTAGCCTAACACTTTGTACGTTTAACTGGAAATATATCGCCTTGTGTTCAGTGAGGCTGACTCCCAAGTAAAGAATCGTAGGATTGTAGCCTTGGTGGACGAACTTCTTTCATATAATAAGAATGTTAACCAGAATCTCCCAAACTCTGCTTGTCCTGCCTAGACTCCGCTTACCACTCTGTCGGGTCATACGGGAGCAGTCTCCTCTTTACTCTGGTCAGATACGGATGAAATATGCAGCGCTTCTTGGGACCACACAATCAAGGTGTGGGACATTGAAACGGGAGGCCTCAAATCCACTTTGGTGAGAACATTTGCAATCTCGGTTCAGTTTTTGCCAGAGTGGGAGTTGAATAGCTTCCACAAGCAACTTCTGCAATATCTAAACGACAGCACATTCCATATGATTCCCTTGCTTCTTATGTAGACTGGAAGCAAAGTGTTCAACTCCATTTCCTACTCACCGCTGTGTCGGCGTCTAGTCTCTGGAAGCACAGACAGACACATCAGGTTATGGGACCCTCGCACCAAAGGTGAGTGAAAGCAAGTAAGAGAATTTTACAATATGCGAGAAACTGTATTTAGCTAGTTGTCTATAGCTGACTATTTAATAGGCTTGCTTTGGCATATCTTTGGTAAGATTTTTCCAAGCAAGATATGATTTTATAATCTTTCCTTTCCTTTATTATTACACTCCTCTGACCAAAGGTCTTGAGAAAAGTCAATACAAATACAAGATAAAATACAAAGCAGTAAACATTAAAATACAGCATAAATTAAAACCCATCTCTGGAATGGCACAGAGGAACCACAAGTGCTAAGAATTTAGCAACAGAACACATTGTTTCCGGATTGGTGTCTGCCAGCAAGAGAGAGATCACACAAGGTTTGACAGGCAGCTGATATTTACTCAGGATGGGTGTAATCTAGAGGTCTCTGAGTGGCATCCATTGATCACAGAATAAGTTCAGGTGATCTATGGTCTCTATCACTCCAGATGCACAGCATCAGTAGCCGTCAGAATATGGAGTTTTGGTGAAGCATCCCATGAGCTCTGCAGCTGGCAGGATATTCAGTCTGCCTAACATTAAAGCTGCGGTGGCTCAAGTGGTTAAGACGCTGAACTGCAGGCTGTGGAAGGTCAGTAGTTCAGCAGTTCGAGACCCGAGTGTGCCGCATGACGGAGTGAGCTCCTGTCTCTAGTTCCAGCTCCTGCCAACCTAGCAGTTCGAAAGCGAGAAATTGCAAGTAGATAAATAAGTACCACTTCGGTGGGAAGGTAACAGCATTCCGTGTGCCTTGGTGTTTAGTCATGCCGGCCACATGACCACGGAAACGTCTTTGGACAACGCTGGCTCTTCGGCTTTGAAACGGAGATGAGCACCGCACCCCTATAGTCGGACTCGACTGGCGTTCGAGCAAGGGAACCTTTACTTTATGGCCAGAAATTGTAAGGAGGCTTGGGGAACAATCCTAAGCAGATCTACTCAGAAGTAAGCTTCTTTTATTCAGTGGGGCTTACTTAGGATTGGGGCCTTAGAGATGAGGCGAGGTTCGGGGGGGGGGTGAGGAACACTTCTCAGGTAAAGAGAACCTCAGGAGCCCAAACCTTTCCCGACAGGTATGAAAGAATGGCACCAATAGCGGGGTTTAAAAGTGAAATAAGAGGAAAGATTTATTCTTAATAAAAGGCAGGGAAATGGGGAAAAGGTTTTATGAGGACAAACAGTTGGCAACCGACAAGTGCCCGCTACAAACACTATAAACAATGTTTAGGCTTTCCCAAACTCAGGAAGAACTAATACAAATTATAAACCCTATTAAGAAGGTTCCTTACAATAAGCAGGCAGTTGTGATACTAGTGAATTTATACCACCAATAAACCAGGGTTCCCCTGCTTAGGCTCTGAATCCCAACTAGTCCCTGTGTGAGTGAGTGTCTTTCTCTTTTTTAACCTGGGTCTGACCTTTTACTCTGGCAAATTCCTTCAGCAGAGTCTGCTCTGCCCCTCTCTCTGGGACATCCTGTCACTGTCTCCCAAACTGAGCATTTTCTCTTTGAAGGCAGCCGCTCAAAAGACCCCCTCCTCCATTAAATTCACTCTCTCTAAAAAAAAACTCCCAACCAACTTTCAGCTCTCATCCCCCCCCCCCAGCCCCCTACTGCATGCATTCTGTTGTCAGGGAGGCAACTCACCAATCAGAATGAGCCTCTGCCACTACCTCCCTCAGAGTGTTTTTTTGTAGTTCATCACGGGGTTATAGCCTGAGAAGAGCTATGGGGTCAGACTCAGGAAACTGCACGAATTCCTCAATTCACACTGCATTAATGACCTAAAGTAGAAAAGGCCTTGTGGCTAATGCTGACTCCACTTTTACTCTCTTGAAAAATTCTGGATGTTGTTGGCTATTAGAACTACTGTTTCCTTAGTGACATCGCCATGTGCCATTTTGCCTCTATTTTGCTTCTCCTGTTCCAAGAACACCCAGTATTGTACATTCCCCAGTTATGGGAGGTCTGTGAAGTCTGTCTTTTTTTCTTTTTTCTTTTACCAGGATGCTATCTACTTTGTAGCCTGGAGGCTAAAAGCAAAACTGCTCCAAGGCATGGGGGCTGGCTAGATACTAGAGAATGCTGTAGAGTTATGGTGTTTCAGACTTTGAATTTTACGCTTCTGGTACACAAACGTTGCCCCCTACTGGAATTTTATCTGGATCCTCAGTGCACTGATCTCAGTTGTGTCATATCCTTATACACTGTATGATGACTCCATCTAAGGAATCTTTTCTTGCTCGTTTCAGATGGTTCCCTGGTGCTGCTTTCACTTACCTCGCATACTGGCTGGGTGACATCTGTCAAGTGGTCGCCCACCCATGAACAACAGCTGATCTCTGGTTCTCTAGACAATCTAGTTAAAATTTGGGACACAAGGAGGTAAATGTTTGAGGGGTTTGGCATGTGGGTTCAAGTAAAAATGAAGAAGCAACTTCCTAGGTTTCGGGGAGATACACAACCTGTTATACAGGTCACAGGTCATGTTTAGCAATATTTCTTCATCTGGGTTTACCAGTCTGAGTCTGCAGTAGTAAATATGCCTTCAAGTGCCCTTTGAGAACAGCACTGTATCACCTGCACATAAGGCAGAAAAATCTCCCTTTCTTATTAGAGTGAAGTAAGCTTTTCATCATCATATGTTAAAAAAAACCCTACACAGGTAGGTGGTGTACATAATGAAAGTGAGACTACAGAGTATCATATTAGGAGCTCGGAGAGGCAGGGCTCAACCCCCCACTTTGCCATAGAAGCTTGCTGGGTGTGGCTGAGCCTGCCTCACAGCATTGTTGGTAGGATACAATGGAGGAGAGGAGAACAGTGTAAGCCTCTTTGGGCCCTCGTTGGGGAGAAAATCAGGGTGTAAATGTTATCTAAATAAATGAAAACATATCTTCAGGCTCTCTGTCAAGGACAAATGAGATGGGGAGGGAATGGCTTGTCCATAAGGAATGCATGAATCTGCCTTATTCTGAATCAGACCCTTGGTCCGTCAAGGTCAGTATTGTCTACTCAGACTGGCAGTGGTTCCCCAGGGTCTCAAACCCTGGGGTCTTTTCCATCACCTATTGCCTGGTCCTTTTAACAGGAGGATTGAGCCTGGGACCTTCTGCATGCCCAGCAGAGGGTCTGCCACTGAGCCACAGCCCCTCCTCGCAAACTTTTGGGCTGATTTAGCCTTCAAGATAGACCTGAAAGAAAAACAAGTAATGGAATTCTTGTATCTGTGTCTCCGCAGCTGCAAGGCTCCTCTTTATGACTTGGCTGCTCATGAAGACAAGGTGTTGTGTGTGGAGTGGACAGAAGCAGGGGTAAGTACGTCATCCTTGGGTACTGGTGGAGTGACCACTGAGTGCAACTGTAGTGTTTAGCTTGAGAGCAGATGCTTAAAAAGACTCGGGTATAGTGTATTTATACAAAACAGCACAAAGGTGGTTTATGAGTTTTTAACGGTTTCATATCCCTATTTTATTTAGAGGTCTTTTCTGTCCCGCCTCTTTCTAAATAATGAACTCAAGTTATCTCCTTCGGTATTCACGAAGTTCTTGCTTCCCAATGCCAGACAAAAAGCAAACTTTTTTCGGAGTCTATGAAACATTGGCCCTGTTTGTAACACCAAATGAAGGCTTGGCCTTCCACAAGCGAGCCTCTGCCCCCGTAGCTTCTCCTTCCCTCACTTCTCATCTCATGCATTGCAGTTTCCTCCCTCTCGTCACCAAGCTATGGTTCATGCTAAAAAAAAAAAACCCTCGGGAAGAAAAATCAGAACTGGAAACCACGTACTGACAATTTGGTGTTGCATCTGAACCAGCTGATTGTGAGCAACAAGCAAAGAGTAGCAAGGCAGTGACAGATTCTGCTATGTGTATTGAGTTGTGGGAATAGAGATCTTCAGGCTGCATTCAGAAGGCTGTTCTGTGTCAGCAAGAGACCACCATGCCCCCCCCCCCACTGCATCTTCCACAGATCTCTCCCCACTGACCTCCTATGGAGATTCTCATGTGAAGGTTTCCCTTCTAAGACGGATTTTTATTTCTCTTCTTATACATATTGAGGCCCAATTACCTTTGCTGGTATTTCGGACCTTACCTAGTTTAGACTGGAAAATGGCTTGTGGCAAATGGCTTCTCAACTAGATTTTGTTTTTTCCCTAGTTGTTGCTGAGTGGCGGAGCTGACAACAAGCTGTATTCTTACAGATGTCGAGCAAACACCTCAGATATTGGAGCTTGAAAAAGTCTCTGGTTTTCCCATCGACAACATTTCTTCTATAGTTTCTTTTTCTTTCCTTTTTTGTAACCTGTTTTGAAGTATCTGTAGAAAATGAGTTTAGTTCTTGTTTATAATTACGTTGTTTCTTTGGTTGGCTTGCCAGGGCGAGGTGGGCGGGGTGTGTGTTTTTTTTGACAACAGCATGTTTTTGTATTTAAAGCTAGATTAATAAAACAACATGCTTAACTATTGCCTGGACTAAATGTATATACATGGTAGTGAGAGATTTATCTTATGTAATTACACAGTTTTAAAAAAATAAAATAAATTATGAAGCTGCCCTTGTACCAGGCTTTTATTCAATTCAGCAGGAACTTCAAAAAAGGTGAAAAAGAGCAAGAGTCCAGTAGCACCTTAAAGACTAACAAAACTTGTGGCAGGGCATGAGCTTCCGTGAGTCACTGCCCACTTCTTCAGAAGAAGCCCTGACCTGGATAGCCCAATCCCGTCAGATCTCGGAAGCTAAGCAGGGTCAGCCCTGGCTAGTATTTGGATGGGCGGCCTCTAAGGAAAACCAGGGGCATGATGCAGAGGCAGGCAGTGGCAAACCACCTCTGAAATGCCTTTTGCCTTAAAAACAAGTCTAGCTCGCCACCTAGTGTTGCATAACGCTAAAAGAGCAAGAACTTCTGGCTGCCAGACAAATCTTAGGATCTCCTGGCTATACTACACACACATTGCCTTACAATAATTAATTCTTCAGAAGAAGTATGGCGAAGAGCCCCGATCCGCTTGACCCCTAATAACTGCCCAAGCTGATTCCCCCCTTTATGACATCTGAAGTACCTTCTTACAACATCTAAAGCAGACCAGCGGTACCGACGTATAAGATTAGCATTTTATTATTATACCTGGTTTTAACATAGTATTTTAATGTTGTATTTATTACCTATATGTATTTTGGAATTTTATCTGCTGTAAGCCGCCCTGAGCCAGCCTCGGCCGGCATAAAAGTTTAACAAATAAATAAAGTATCTAAAAAGTGAGCAGTGACTCACAAACGCTCATACTCTGCCACAAATTTTGTTAGTCTTGAAAGTGCTACTGGGCTCCTTTTTCTGCCGCTACAGACAGACTAACACAGCTACCCATCTTGGTCTGTCTCCATGGAAGGAACGTCATGTGTTTACTATTGAAACTCTGAGACAGCAGATGGATGCACAGCTCATTTGGGATTCTGGAAAAAAGCACTGAAGGCTCGTTAACACAGTTACTATAATGCCAGTGTACTGACCACCTCATTCAGCAGTCTTTGTTGGTATTTTGGGGCTGGGGATGTTAAGATCAATTCTTGAACCAGAAAGACTGGCTCCCATTCCTGCAAGGAGACATAATTTACCTTAATTCATTCCGTGTGGATCTCCAGTCGTTGCTTCTTCAGTTGAATATTCATATCAAGCTTATCATCTCGTTTCGGTGGTGTGTATTCTAAAACTGGAATGATAACCAAGAAGATACACTGTCAGCACAGCAAGATAATTTCATCCTGTCTTGTATACTAAGGCAGCAGCTAAATCTTTACGAAGACGTAACCAGAAGCTCTGTCTTCTGGAGGAGCTATCTGCCAGGAATGCTCTGGCTTTGGACAGGGGCAGGCTAGGAAGCTAAAATGGCCCAGGAACAAGCCAAGCTGAGCAAGTCAACACCATGAGGTTCACTGAGATCAGATCCCACCACTGTTACTAACTATGGTGGTGCAGAAGGAGGCAACTGCTAAGATGACCCTGATTATGGTTGCCCCTGAAAAGTCTAAACCAAGCAAACTCTGTAGCACTGACAGAGCTACTGGGGTTTAACCCTGCTTGTTTCTGCTTGCCAGAGGCCCGCTGGGAGTTTTCCCTGTGTTAAATGGCCAATCTGTCCCAGTTTTGGAACAGGGATTAGATGACCTATCCAGTTCTACTATCACGGTATACCAAAATATGCAAAGTGTCAATGCAAGAAACATTTTTTGCAAGGCCATGTATTAGATACACTCATTAGAACTGGGACGACAGCTTTCCATCATTTTATTTATTGCAGGCGGGGAAATGCAGAATGTTAACACTGAAGACAAATTCAGTGTTACAAAATCTCCTCCCCTAAACTCGGGGGAGGGGGGGCTTGAGCAGACTAGTTTTTCATGTTTTCTCCGTCCCCCATTATTTTCAACAATTCACCCCTTCTGAAGTATGTTCATGCCTCTTTTTTTTTAAGGGGGAGGAATCTGGTTGCGTTTTTAGTTAATTTAAAACAAAATGCAACTGCAGAAAAACACAGTTTGATGTTACTCATAGCCATATTTATTTGGAAACAGTTGATTTCAATAGAATTAAGTTTGTTCAGGGTTGTAGCCTAAGAGCCACTGTATTAATTTTTAACACAACCATGTAAAATCCATTTTAAAAGTTGTTTGGACCAGGTTGTCACATGCATGATTGTCCGTCTCTGTTTAATTCGCCTGCCTCCATTTTCCTTTAACACTGCCATCTACGTTTCCCCCTTTCCTTGAGATTTTTTGGCTCTTGTCAGGAATCTTTTGCACAATCCAAAAGGAGATTTGCCTCTGAAGCACATTCTAGAGGGGTAGCCCTGGCGAAAGAAACACTTCTATTTCTCACATCTGGGAGAAGGAAGCTGTGCATAACTTTACAAAAATTGGAGTGCAAGCTTTTGAAGACCACAGCATTATCTGACTGACTCACAGTGAGCCTATGCCATAAAACCATTTTTTAAACATTTCATTTATTAAAACATTTATATCCTGCCTTTCCTTGTGGTTCAATGAAGCTTACAATAACAGTTAGAAACATCCCCAGCTAAAACCGAAAATAAAAGATCAAGGCCCCAATCTCTCTGCTTGAAGGCTTGCCTTGAAGGTGGCCATAATTACTTATGTTGTTTATAGTCCACCTTTCTCACTTGGACTGAAGGTGGATTGCGCACAGAGTGAGTCAGCACAATCCATGGATGGGCTATTCAATAAACTGCAGTAGGATTTGGGTTATAGAACCAACCAGAAGCCTAAAAATAGAACTGAAGCAAAGCTTAAGTGTTAACATTTATTAGTTTTGTTCACTTTATATCCCGCCCTCCCTGTGAGCGGGCTCAGGGCAGCTAACAGCAGAAGTTAAAAAGTAAAGGTTTCCCTTGCTCAAAAGCCAGTCAAATCTGACCTTAGGGGGCGGTGCTCATCTCCGTTTCCAAGCCGAAGAGCCAGCGCTGTCCGAAGACTTCTCCATGGTCATATGGCCGCCATGACTAAACGGCATGACAGAACGCTGTTACCTTCCCACCGAAGCAGTACCTATTTACTTGCAATTTCTTGCTTTCGAACTGCTAGGTTGGCAGGAGCTGGGGCCAGAGACGGGAGCTCACTCCATCACGCGGCACACTCAGGTCTCGAACTGCCGAGCTACAGACCTTCTGGTCTGCAGCTCAGTATCTTAACCTCTGAGCCACCATGGCTACAAAACCATTAAAACCAATTATAACAGTGCAATATTAAATGATGCAAAATCCCATAGTAGGATCCTTGTTTCGGTGAGCTTATATACAGTAGTACATACCACAGTCCCCAATAATATTTACAAGGCTCCTGTTTATTATAGGGCCATATTTTGAAAAACAAAAAAGGACGTATTTCCTGACGGACTAGTTCAAACAAGCAGTCGCTATGACAAATCTCATTTTAAACATCCCTGCTATTTAAGACACGACAATCCCTACGAACTAGGAATATTTCTAACCTTGCCAACCCAAAAGAAGAAATTTTCATCAGCTTTTTAAAAAGAGCTCAAAAGAAAGAAGATGGACACAAAGAAGGAGGACATGTCCTCTAAAAAAAAGAAAAGGGACATCTGGTAATCCTATCTGAAGAAGTGAGTAGTGTTGTACGCACCGCTTATGAAACACTTTGTACTTTGCCACTGACTAACAGTCAGTCTAACTTAGTAGGTGCACTTAACACTTCCATGGTGCATATGTTAAGTGCCTTTGATGATTCTAATTACAGAAACAGAAATCAACTATGAACATATATTCAGATATTCACTTTGGTTCATTGCTGAAATGCATTCTGGGAAAAAATACTAAATGCTGACTGGCAGTAACTGACTGACCTTGCTTATAGTGCTGCTAACCCTAGTTTATTTAGATTTATTGACTGATTCCGAAAATTAGGCTGTTCCCTAGAAAGAGTGAGAGGTGATTTGAGCAAAAAAAAAAAAAAACCAACCCAAAGAAAAAAAGCAGTCCCAGTCCCGCTGTCTCTTCTGCCTCCCCGACTAGCTAAGGAACAGGAGACGTTGCCGTCCGCCTGGGCAGCTCTGTCAGACGAGGCGTCGCAAGAGCCAGGAACACGCATGCGCCCCGACTCCTGACGAAAGCGCCCGCCTGAGGGAATCCCCCCCATTGCTACTCCAGAGCAGGTGGACCCGATGGGCGGGAGGGGGCGTGGCTTTTCTCACGGAACCCCTCCCCCCTCCGCCTGCCTCTCTCTTAAGGGCGCGAGGGGAAAAGTGCGGGGCGACAGTTTCTTTTTGACAGTTGGTCTAACGAACAGGGGAGGTGGGTCGGTGGGTGGGAAGGGGAAGGCAGGTGGAGGTCTCTGGAGCACCTGTAGCTCATTTCCCCGTTGCTTCACTAGCCCCCCCCCCCCAATTTGAGGCGACCTTTTAAAGACGTGTTTTTAATTGGGGGGGACAGAGAAAAGAGGGGGACTCTCCCATTTATGGAGGCGCTCCTGGAAGTGTGCAGCTCTATGTGAAGAGGCTTTGGCGACTCTCGGCTCTCCTCTCCTGCCTGTAGGGTTGCCAGCTCCTGCCTGGAATTTACCTGGAGATTTTGAGGGTGGAGCCTGAGGGGGGCGGGGTTTGGGGAGGGGAGGGGCTTCAATGGGGGTGTACCGCCCACCTTCCAAAGGGGCTGTCTTCGCAAGGTGAACTGATCTCTGTCACCTGGAGATCAGCGGTAATCCCAGGAGAACTCCAGCTGCCACCTGGAGGTTGCCAACCCTCACCTGCCTGCAAGGAGTGCTTCTCCATCAGCTTGGGCTGTCCTTGGGCACGAATGGATTTTGGGACTGGTTCGATTAATAGTGGGCCAGTTTGCCCTTTTTAAAAGGGTATTCTTAAAAACAAAAAAAAATTCTCACTTGGGTTGGTTTGCGGTTTCTTTAGGATTACCAGATGTCCTCTTTTTTTTGGTGTCTGTCCTCTTTGGGGCTCTTTTTTAAAAAAAACTAAATGTCATTTGTTCTTAATGAATATTGAACAGTAATAACTTTTTTGTTACACTGTTGTCTTTTTCTGGCCAAACAGCCTATTAGCTTTAAGACCTAGGTGTTACAATATTTGCGTGAAAAAGACTGATACAAATGTCCTCTTTTTGGGCTGGAAGGTTAGGAATATCCCTAGCCAGTAGCAATGATCACAACTTAAATACTTAGGGGTATGAGATTCGTCACAGTGATCGCTTACAGTAACCCTAGCCTGTCATTCTCTCAGCCACATCCCCCCACCCTCCCCAGCTGTCACAGGATCTCGGCATCTTTACCAGCTAAAAAGTCCAAAGGAAGTGGAGTTGGCTGCAATAAAGGTATGATGTGACTGATGCTCCGGAGATGTAATTTTTTTAACTACCTTGTTGCTTTTTTGTAATACTACTCTCTTTCCTGCCTCCCACCCCTGTCTGCATTTGTGAGGGAGGAGGATGATACTTGCCAAGGGGAAAGTAAGGTGGTTTGTGTTTCTTTCTGACAAGTTTAATATAAAGGGAAGTCAAAAGTTAGGAATTAATTTGTGAATGCCCCAACCTTTAGTCACCCATCTCTGTTTATAGCAAGGTGTGCGTTGAATTAGAATCCAGAGCATACCTTGCTATAAATAGAGATGGGTGAATAAAGGCTGGGGAGTTCACAGATTAATTTAGTTGACTGTTTGGGGGGGGATATGATCGAAGGTTTAATGATGGTACTTCATGGCAGAGACTCAGCTATGCAGTCTTTTAGCTTTTCCTGCTTCTGTAATGCACACGTCTAATTACTTAGTGCAAATGGGCTGCATGCATTTGCCAAAGAGAGGCATATAATTTTCTTTGCAGGGCAGGACTCCCCTCCCAAATGTCAGGGATGTTATTCTGAAATAGCTCTTCACTAATTTAATTTGAGAGAGAACCGTGGTAAATGATAGCATCACCTTGAAATATAAAACCTATCTGATCAGGCTAAACCAAGCCTGGATATCGAATTGCTGAGCATTGCATCATATGGCAATCTAGGACTGCAGTTTGCAAACTGCGTGTTTCCTTTCTGCCAATCTAAAAAAGTATAAAAGAATGTTTCATTTATGGTATTTTAACTTTGAGAAATATACTGAAAGGCTACATAGTATCAGAGCTGTTTCTGGTAGAACGATATAATTTGGGGATATTGTATTAACAGGAAAACAATAGTTATTTTTTATCAGTTTATATCAGTTATATAAAATGATTCTTCTGTTGGACAAAGGGCCATTTTAGTGGGAAGAAGGCTCCTTAGGCTGGAGAAAGGCTTCAAACTTTGTTTAATGGAATGGTAGGATCCTGGCCACTATCTCTAAGACTATCCTGCCTCAAAGGGTTGTTGTAAGGATAAAATGTGGGTGCTACCCCAGTTCCTTGTCTGTGTAAACGTCAGTATATGATACAGTATAATACTTGGCCATACTAAGGAGCTGACTGTTTTTGGACACTGATATTGTAATAATTTATTATTAAAAAGCTGGAAGGAGTGCGTTTGAAGAAAAAAAATTACTTTTCCAGATCAGACAAGGATAAACATAAAAGATGAACCATTAAGACAGGTTCTCTCACAAGAAAGCTATGTATATAAACCAATAAAATAAAAAATATTGCTAAGGAAATCATACAAAATACAACTCTAAAAGCATACGGTCATGATCTAAATTTAAAACATGAGAGAAGTTTTAAAGCATGTCACAGTTCCAATGAATTGAGAGCGATATTTGCTCCCAAAGGATTTATTTTGAGGTAGATTAACAATATAAAGTTTTTCTTGAAGGTGAACCATTTTCAAGGAATTTGTTAATCTTTGAAACATCTTTTAATGTATAGTAAATGAAACATTAATGTTGCTATCAGTGCCTCATCTCACACTAAGTTTCACGCACAGTTTCAAAGTGCTATCATCATCCTTACCCCAAGTGGTCATTGATCAACGTACCAGAAAGACTGAACCTCCAACATAACTCTCCTTCCTTGCTGAGGTTTTCATCAGAGGTCTGTTCATCAGGTCATCATAAGACCTTTTTCAAAAAGTAGAAATGCCCAGACTTTGGGTCTGCTTCCCTTGACTTGGCACTTTTCGTTTCTCCTGTTGGCCAAAACAGTTTTGTTTGGTTAAGCATTTGGGGAGTGAAGAACACACTTTAAAAATGATAGTAGTTCCTCCCATGCGCACAAACTCACAAGCGAGATCGGGAGGGGGGAGCGGAACTGAAAGTGGTAAAAACTGTTGGAAAGACTTACCAAGGTGTGTCTGAGCATATGAGCGCACATTCAGAGACTTTTAAAAGTTTAGCGAAAGTAAACAATCGATAAAGATGGCGGGGAAGAGGACGGAGAAGGAGAAACTTTCAAAAACAAAACCAGCTGAGAGTCCAAAACCAGAAGGAACCACCGAGCTGGCTAAAACAATGGCAGAGTCCCTGCGCCCCCCGCTGGAGCAGATGACTAACCTCAAGGAGCAGCTGTCAAAGATGAATCAATGTATCACCACTCAGCAAACACAACTCAATGAGACTCTTAAAATCATGGATCAAACAGCTGAGAAGGTGAAAGAGGTTGATGCCACTACTCAAAAGGTGAAGAAAAAGGTGCAAAAATTGGAAAAAGCAAATTTCAACGGAAGAGCAGCTTTTGCAGATACAAATGGAGAAGGCAAACCTGGTCCTTCGTTTCCAGGGTGTTCCAGAGAGCAGAGGAGAGAATCTGAAGCAAATGATGAGTGAAGCACTGGTGCATCCTAAGAGTGACGGTGGGGACACCTTTGAAAATTTGGGACAGTACTATTCGGATTCTGAAAGACATTCCATTTGAAATAAGACAACAGAGAAAGAAATACAAAGATTTAATTCTTTTTCTTCAAACGAATGCAATCAGTTACAGGCGTAACCTTCTAACTGCAGGGGAAAAAAGAAAAGATGGACAAAGCACGGGACTTTTTGAGAATCCAGCTGGGAGAGCTAGAGGAGATGGATAAAGAGGAAAAGGACAGTAAGTCCAGTGGCGAGCTGGACTTGGGGTCTTCTGGAGAGGACTCTCTGTCTGAGAAGGGGGCAGCAACTCCTAAAAGTCTTTATAAACTGCAGAAGAGACAAGATAAGAAAAAATAAGAGTTGAAGGACTCTGAATGGTGCATCTGATAAATATTGTTCCGTTCTTTTTAATATGGGGATGCTGAGGGGTTTTTTCATAACAGTTAAAATTAAGACTTAAAAGTTATAAAAGCATGTTCGACGAAGTTCATCAAATGTAGCATTTTAAGAATTAGCATTGTATATAAGCTAATTTGAGGATCTCCTCTCTTGGGTTTTTAGCTAGTAATGGTTATCTTTCCTTTCTCCCTTCAATGTAGTACCCCTCCCTTTTTCATTATAGTTTGTAGTATATATAGAAAATGCAATAAAAAAATCCCATTCGGGGGGCCAAAAAAAATGATAGTAGTTCTACTGCCAACTTTACTTTAGCCAGTTTGGTGTCATGGTTAAGTACGCGGAGAACCAGGTTTGATTCCCCACTCTTCCACTTGCAGCTGCTGGATGATCTTGGGCAAGCTATAGTTCTGTCAGACCTATTCTCTGAAGGGCAGTTGTGGAAGGATCTCTCTCAGCCCCACCTACCTCACACAGTGTCTGTTGTGGGGAGGGGAAGGGAAAGGAGTTTGTAAGCCGCTCTGAGACTCCAAGTGAAGGGTGGGGTATAAATCCAATCTCCTCCTCTTCTTCTTAAGTGTTTTTAGATTTCATTTCATTTTTATTTATTTTGTGTCCTGCCTTGTACATACTTGGTGGGAAGGTACACATTTTAAATAAATTATTTAAATAAATAAAACATTACCGCTCTGTCACTGTTTAACTATTTCAGATGTGCAAAGGTATAGATTTAAATGAGCAAAATATATATCTAGAAACCTCCATGCCACTTTCTGTAAAGGCAAACATGCCCAAAGCAACTTTCAACATTAAAATAGAGAGAAAAAACATAACATAACATCAGTATAAAACTACAGTGATGCCATGCTAAGTAGAGAAATACCCTTCTAATCCTGTTGATTTCAATGAACTTTGAATGATGTAACTCTTCCTAGGATTGCACTGGGCAGTTGATGATTTTTTTCTCTTTGACTTCCTTCCTTCCATGTTTTAGTAGCTTCATGGACACGTACAAGCAGAACAATCCAGGAGACCAGTCAGTAGTTAGCAAAATGCAGAAGAAATACTGGAAAACAAAACAAGTCCTAATTAAAGCTACTGGAAAGAAAGAAGATGAACATGTGGTAGCATCTGATGCAGAGTTAGATGCCAAACTAGAGGTAAACACAATTTTTTAATGAGTGCTGAGAAAACTGATTTAGTGAGTATCGCCTCTTTGTCACAAATCGAATTCCAATTAAAACATTTAATATCTACCTTTGTTCTATACTTGTAAGCATTTTTGAAGAGTCGCACACAGAATTTCAGTTAGGTAGCAGAACCTGATACAATTCTCTTGTATATTCCCCAATAAGAATACCTTCTAAAATCTTAACATTTTGACAGCTGCAGCATGAACAATGTTTTCTGTCAATGAAGTTTCAATTGTATTGGCCAAAGCTGTAACAACATTCATGTACTATTTATATAATACCCATCTGATTATCATAGTGACAGTTACTTTAATTTCCAGATGAATAAGTGCTACTGGTTATGGAAACATCTGCACTCAGCTAAAACAGTTGAGTTCTCTAGAAGGTGGTCAGCATGTGAAGCTTTGTTTCAGTTCTTGAAGCGAAGTGGGACATGGGGTGTTAAATTTCCCCCTTTCTCATACAGCTCAGTCTGATTTATGGTTGTATCTGCTCACAGTTTACCATTTACAGATTGATGGGGGTCTGATCTTCCTCATGTGGGTCTCAGCCTTTCGCGTTTTAGTTTAGAGGACCACAACTCTGAACCCAGGAATTCGAAATGAGATTGTCATGGTTTTCTCAGCCATTGAAAGTCTGTCCGTTTTATTTTTCGTACAGTTGGTGAGCTCTCTCTGCAATAAGGGCAGTTCATGGGAGTAAGCCCCACTGAATGATATGGCTCTTACTTCTGAGTAGACCTTGTAATGATTCCTTGTTTTATGAGGGTGTGTGTGCCTTTAAATGCTTGGTTGGAGTGCATAGTTAGAGTAGAGTGATTGAGAGAGACAAATGTGCTGTGATTGGTGGATGACAGAGTGTGGGAGGGGTTTTTGAAGTGAATCTGTGTGGGTGTGTCAGTGTGTCAGTTATGAGAGACAGGAAAATTGGTGTTCAGTTAGAGTGTTAAGTCAGTGAGTGTTCAGTTAGTTCTGAGTGAGTTCTTAAAGAGGGCAGTATATATGTCCTTAGCCTGTGTGGCTGACTATGAAAGAGTGGCTCCTGTTAATGTTGGAACTGAGTGTCAAAACAAACAAAAAATAAAGGAAAAAAGACTGTGTGTGTGATACATTTGATACACATATTGTCAAGTCCCTTTATCCAAAATAGTTACAGAATAACCAACCTCATATTTTGTTCTTACTTCAATAAATCATCTTTTGTTCAAGTTTATCCCCGAATTTAGTTCTGTCTTTCCTCAGGACCACATAGATCCCTGAAAAGCCCCGACTCTAGGTCACCTTACCAGGAAAAGAAACAGAGAGAAGGTTTGGAAATCCTTAAATTCCTGGTGGCAGCAGGGAACTACCCCGTTTACAAAAGCAAAGAGCACATTTAAAGGGAAAACCAATCCTCCCTAAAGAGAGGATGCCACAGACCTGCTTAGGAGTAAGGAGAAGCAGAACTTTGAGTGTCTAAACCTGACATGAAATTGACAAAGGCTTTCTTAGCCGCAGAGGTACACCCCTTCAGGAAATACAGAAAATGGTTTTGGGGAGGGGACAGTGAAGGCAAAGCATTGCAAGAATGTACATGTACAAATCACTAGATCAAGACTGTTCTCCTGCCTTTCTTATTAATGAACACTGGGTAAGGCAGCTGAAAGGGACAGAGGGAGAAGGCTTATGTATGCGCATCCTTCACTGTTAAGTGTAAATGTTTTATGTACATTGAGAAAGTGGCCAACGACAGGTAAGGAGGAGGAAGCGGATGCTGCTGCATGCTCCCCCAGAAAAGCTCTGGAAAACAGTATAAGAACACATATGCATAATCAGCTTTTTTGTGTCAAAAACATATGCAATGTTAGACTATGAACAATCTGTCAAACATTAGACTATATGGATGGCTTCCTGTGGACAGCTTGTGAACTGAATTGTTGGGTGATCAAGCATCTCTGAGTGTAAGCTGGTGCTTGAAGTTTGCCAGTTCAGTTCATGACAGTTGTCTAAATGTTATTGTTTTGCGTTTGTCCAAAGTAATATACTTTGTTCTGTATTAAAGGTTTTTCATACCATTCAGATGACCTGCGCAGATCTTCTAAAGACAATTGAAAAATACCAGCAAAGACTTAATGGTAAAATTGCCAAAAGTGTATCTTGATTAGTTTCATTATAGAATAGTTATCTAGGTTTGACAGCATTCATATACAGTTCCTTTAAACATTTTTAGATTAGACGGATACAGAATGTTTTCATGTGTTGAATTGTCAGACATTATGAGTATTTTGCATCAAGAAGTGTACATTCATCAGTTCACGGTAACGGTGTTTGTAGGCACAAATAATGAGTTCTGTTTGACAAATAGCTGAACTCCCTACTTGTGTTAGTTTTGCATCATAATTCTTATCTGAATAAAATTACAATTTAGTTCCACTTAAGTGAATTTAGTCTCACTGAAATACGATAGCATCAAAACAGTTTTAATCCAGATACTCAGGCACTTCAGTTGTTCAATATATGCATTATTGCATCCTTGTGTGATGCAGTAACTGTGCACATGCAAAAATAAGCAAGAGGAAAACTTACCCACCAGCCAGTAGAGGGTACAAAGGCCATCCTCAGATAATAGATGGAGTATACAATTCACAGAATTTAAATTCACACATTTTTATTAGTATGATACCTTGATGAAGGATGAATTTTTAAAATAATAGGCTAGTAAATACAGCATAGATGAGATACACACTGAGATACTCTTGAATTAGAACGTGTGTAGTATAGGACCAGGGTAAAATAATAATGGACCTTTTCTTCACACAGAACACCTGTGTGGGTGCTTCTTTGCTAGTGCAAATGTGCATTCACAATGGTGTCAACAGGGAAAAAGGTTCTTCATTTTGGAGTCTAAAGAATCAAGTCACAGCCACTTTCTTTTCTGTCCCTAAACATTTGTGTAAAAGATTTGCTCATTCTATGACAGGAGACAATTGTGTATTACTGTACTTATTTTAAATATTCCTTGCCTATATAGTGCAATGGTGGCTAAGCGTGCCTCCCCCCAAGCTCTAAGTCACAAGTCAAATCCAGGTGTGAGGCTCGTATCAGTCTATTATGCAGCTCTGTCACCACCTCCTGATGGGGATCTGAACCTGGGGTCTTGCAGACCCTACTTTGAAGCTCTGTTATATCACACTGGTTTTCATAGGGTGGCTGCTGATGAACAGTAGCAAGCAGCCAGGCCTAGTTGTAATCTATTTTTTTTAATGGCAATTTACAACTCACTCATGGAAACCCCATAGGGTTTTCAAGAGACATTCAGAAGTGGTTTGCCATTGCCTTCCTTTGCACAGAGACCCTGGTATTCCTTAGTGGTCTCCCATCCAAATACTAACCAGGGCTGCCCCTGCTTAGCTTCCAAGATCTGATGACATCAGGCTATCCTGATCAGGGCCAGCCGGGCCTAGTTGAGTCATGCAAATCAGGGGGGATCTGGCAACCCTAGCCTGCTGCCAGACCTAGGGTTGCCAATCTCCAAGTGGGACCTGGAGACCCCCCAGAATTACAACTGAACTCGAAGCAGAGATCTGTCTCCCTGGAAAAAATGGCTGCTTTGGAGGGTGGACTCTGTGGCATTATAGCTAGCAGACGCCTCTCCCTTCCTCAAACCCAGCCCTCCTTAGAGTCCAGCACAAAATCTCTAGGAATTCCCCAGCCTGGCACTGGCAACCCTTGGCAGGCTTGGCCCCAAGGCTCCCTCCCTGAAAGGCCAAAATAGGCCTGGAAAGGGCCCTTCCCCCTCATGTTGCCTTTTACTGACAGAGCCAGTTAAAAGCCCCCCCCCCCCCAACATTCTAATCTCTCACTGTTGATGCCTGAAGTAGATCCCTGCAAAGGCCATTTCAACAGGTATTGGGGGGAATTCAACACTCCCCATGGTTGCCAGATTCAGGTTGGGAAACTCGTGGAGATTTGGGGATGGAGCCTGGGGAGGACAGGGATCTCCATGGGGCACAATGGCAAAGAATCCACTCTCCAGACCATCAATTTTCCCCCAGGGAACTGATCTTTGTAGTCTGGAGATGAGCTGTAATTCTGGGAGATCCCCAGGTCCCACCTGGATGCTGGCATCCGTAAGCCTCCCTGAAGAGTTTTTTTTTTAACTTTTTGGATTTTTCTGCAACCCAGAAAGTCTCCTGAGTCTGTAGGAAAAGCTGTTGGGGGAGAGTGAACCCTCTGTTGGTAGAAATAAGTATCCACACAGAAAACAGAGAGTGGCTATTAGATATATAGATAGATGACACCTGTGGTTCTCTTAATGAAACAGAGTCTTTTCTGTCTGCCCGAAATATTTTTATTTTATTTTATTCATTTGTACTCTGCCTTTCTCCTCAATGAGGACCCAAAGCAGCTGACATTGTCCTCCTCTCCTCCGTTTTATCCTCATAACAACCCTATGATGTAGGTTAGGCTGAGAGAATGTGACTGCCCCAAGGTCACCCGGTGAGCTTCCACAGCATGAGTTTGATTAACACGAAGGCTTTTGTTCTCTTTCACTATCAAAAGTCTGTCCGATACAACTTTCCTAGTTTATTGTGTAATGAGCTGGAGACTAAAAAACTGAGCTAGCTCACACTAACTCAGCTTAGAGGGAACACTGCTCGCCAGCTCTTCCAGCTGCAGGCAAGCAGGAGGGGAGGGAGAGGCAGCCACAGCCGGAAGCAGCAGGAAGACCCAGCAAGGCTGGGTGGCGACTGCCCACCAGGGTAAGAAGCTGCGTCCTGTTGTGGCCGAGGGGCAACCTTGCCAGGTCTGAGAAGCCTGCTGCAGATGGCACCTGCAGGGGGGAGAGGGAGGTACTACACTCATTCGCCTCACCCTCGCCTATGTTTGCCTCACCCGCCAGGCACCAGTGATCGGGTCACTTCCAGGCGATGTCACAAGTGATGCCACCACATCACGGGCAAGTGTGCCTTTGCCCCCCTGCCGAAAATTTTCTGGCTTATGGGGCTAATACAAAGAGTTTCTTGGTACCTAAAAGACTAACAGATTTACTGTGGCTTAGGCTTTCTCTGCATCTGCAGAAGAGGGACACAGCCCATGAAAACATCATGCCACACAGTGCAGTTCTTAGTCTTGAAGGTGCCCTCATAACTCTTTGTTGGTTTTACAAGAGATGTAACATAGGTTTCTCTCTGCCATCAGTCTTTATGAATGTTTTCCATCTCCTGGAAACAATTTTTTTTTAATATGGGTGACGATAAGAAATATAAAGCCACTTATACGTCCATTCTTTCTCTCACAGCTGTTTCTGAGCAAGAGAATGAGCTAGGGCTCTTCTTAAAGGTTCAAGCAGACCGAGGCGAAGTTCAGATTGGCAGAATGATTGATGCTACCGGCAAGGCCCTCTGCTCATCTTCCCAGCAAAGGTTTATGTTTTTTATTATCCCATTTGCCCAAAATTTAATTTGGTACTGTTGCTATAAAAATAATATATGGAGTACACGCAATTCTTATTTGGTACTCCAGAGTACAAGGCAGCTGTACAGAGACGGACTGCATCAGGATATTAAATATAAAATCCAAGCAGTCCATAAAAGTAAGTGAAACCGCAAGTGTTCCCTTCTTTATTGCTTTACTATCTCTCTTGAAACGTTAATCACTCTAACAGTATAATCCTTAGCAGAGGTACACCCTAAGGCCACTGTCTTCAATAGGGTTAGAAGGTATAACTCTGTTTAGGATTTCACAGCTAGCGGTTGGGGAAAAAATAAATAATTGATGAATCAATTTATGTTGGCTTAATCCCATAAATCTGAAAGGGGGCATTAATAGTTGAACTCTTAACTGATGCTGTATTCAGCAGTATTTCCTTTTCATAAAAAAATAGTCTACTGTTTAGGATTAGTATCTATATACATTTTTTCTTTTGCACATCATTTTTTGCCAACTCTTACCATAACTGTTCAAACCATTCTTAATCAGTTCAAGCCTTTTATATAAACACTTGCACAACCAGTGCAGATGCAGTGAAGGTGGTTCAGAGATTAGGTGCAGGCTGTTGGATCATATGCTTCCTCCCTCTCATCCCTCCCCTCTTCAAAGTGAATTTTTCTTCATCCTGCAGGGGAAGGGGGAGAAGGAACTTTGCTAACCTGCATCGGGCTTAGTAGACAGCGACTAGTCTTTGGAAATAACAGCATACATTTTTTAAAAAGCCCATGTCAACTAAAGATCTCAACTCAAGATGCATAAATATATGTTCAGGCTGTAATTTGCCACTGCAAGTCTAAAGAAGAAAAATGATGGGGGATGGGAGAATGCAGTAATCTGTCAGCAGAGGACACCAGTGGCTAGAGACCTTTGCCAGGTGTCCCTCCACCTAGCAATCCCTTCCAGTCCCAGGAAAATGGACTCCTGTGTTCACAGGACTCAAGTAGGTAGGGAAGCTGCTGTTCCCGAGGGCCCTGATCTCTTCTGGGAGCTCATTCCACGAGTACAGAGCCACCACTGAGAAGTCCCTGGCCCTGGTTGTGGCCAGCCTGGCATCTTTAGGACCTAGGAAGCCAGTCGATTTTGTGACCCTGGGCATAGTGCTCTCTGGGGAACATGGGGAAAGGCGTTCCCTCAGATATGTGGGCCCCTGACCATAAAGGGCTTTAAAGGTAAGTACCAGCACCCTGAAGCGAATTCGGTATGCTATCGGCAGCCAGTGCAGTGCTTTCAGCATAGGCTGGATCTGCTCTCGCATAGGGAGCCCCATCAGAAGCCTGGCTACAGCATTTTGCACTAGCTGTAGCTTCTGCATTTGGGTCAAGGGCAGCCCCATGTAGAGAGCATTACAGTAGTCCAAAGGTGACCACCGCATAGATCACTGTTGCCAAGTCATTGCATTCGAGGAAGGGAACCAACTACCTAATCAGCCGGAGATGGTAAAAGGTTGATTTGGCAGTGGCTGCTGCCTGGGCCTCCATTGTTAGTGAGACATCCAGGAGCACTCCCAAGCTCCTAACCTCCAGTGCTGGCACCAATGGCACCCCATCGAAGGTTGGAAGTAGGATCCCTACCCTCGGGCTGCCCCAGCTCAGGCGCAGGACCTCCCGTCTTCATTGGATTCAATTTCTGAGCCAACCAGCCACAGCTTGCAATGCCTGATCCAGATCTTCCGGTGTAGAGTCAGACCGCCCGCCCAACAACTGATAGAGCTGGGTGTCATCTGCATACTGGTGAAATCCCAGCCCATGCCTCCGGGCAATCTGGGCAATTTACACAGGGGACAGCACTGCCCCTTGGGGCACTCCACAAATTGGTGGGTGCCTTTGGGATACCTGCTCCCCTAGCACCACCCTTTGTTCCCCCATCCTGAAGGAAGGAAGCCAGCCATTGCAAGGCAGGCCCCTGGACTCCAGTGTTGGCGAGGCAGTGGATCAGTAACTGATGGTCGACCATGTTGAATGCCACTGACAGGTCCAACAGCAACATCACTGCCAATCCACCCCAATCCAGATGTCTCTGGAGGTCATCCATGAGGGTGACTAGTGCTGTCTCCATCCCATGGCCTGGGCGGAAATCGGACTGGAAAGGATATAGAATGGAAGTGTCATCCAAAAAGCTCCGTGGCTGAATTGCAACAGCCCTCTCAATTATTTTGCCCAAATAGAGCAGATTGGAGACCGGCCGGTAATTAGCCAATTCGGCCAGATCCAGAGATGGCTTTTTCAGGAGGGGACAAACCACAGCTTCCTTGAGTGCATTGGGAAAATTGGCAAAAATAGTTAGATATTCAGAGATTGCAATGGATCTTTGCTCCACTGGAGTGGAGGCGTTTTGTTCTATGTAAAAATATTTCTAAGGGAAGGTGTGACGTCCCCTTATCTGGGGAGTCCTGGTTTCCCTTTAAAATGTTCTTTATGTTTTGTTTTACTGTGTATATCCGGCTGCCACCAGGAAATTTAAGGCTTTCCAAACCTGTGTACTATACTATTTCTATCACTGAGTAGGTAGGTCGGTTTTAAGGCTTTCGAGGTACTAATGTGGTCCTGGGAAGTATTTCTTTCAGAACTGGTATCTTAAATAAAAGTAGATTTATTGATATAATTCGTAAATAATATGGTAGTACGCTGTAACTAGGAATGGGTAAATACTAAACAATTGCTTTGATATTTCACACACTTTTCTCTCTCACTGTCAGGGATCTTGGCATGTAACTTTATAACACTTTTTTCCTTAAGGCCATATACGTTTACTGTTTCACTTTAGCCTGTCACTCAGACTTTTTATATAACTTTTGTTTCCTTATACATTCAACTTTTCTTCATACACAGAACTAACTCCTAAGCACCCACAAAACTGCTTCTCTCCCAGACTTCAGAACTAACTACTAACATATCCGCCCCGAGCTGTATATTGGATGGGGCGGGATATAAATCCCAAAATAAAATAAATAAAATAAAAAATAAATAAATATCAACTGTCTTCATCAACTGTCATCCTTCAACTGTCACTCCTGAAGGACATACCCATTCATCCACTCCGAAACCCCTCCCCCTCTCTGTCAATCATCAATCACACCACACTTGTCTCTTCAAGCACTCTTGTCCATCACACAGCCAAGCATCCAAACTTTTAAAGAGACACACACACATATAAAACAAGGAATCATTACAGAAGAGTTCACAGGAAATCTACAAATCAACGAAGACACCTAAGACTACATCTTTACACTTTGACCACACAGTCTACAACAATGGAGATTCTTCTTCTTGACCCCTAGAAGAAAATCACCTGAATGCATTAACCAATGATTGTTAGTAAATAGGCTTCAGCTTTTCTGGGATTTCTTCCCATTGGCTCTGTGCCAGGTTCCCTTCCTGGTCAGTCTAAACAATAGCACACAAGGTAAACACACATTAATCCTATAATAATTGGATTTTAGACCTTGCAACACACATATTTTCAACAGAGTGCCCTAGGGAACTGTCCCTCCAATAAGGACTTGTTGATAATCTCCCTTAGGGCATCTCGAAACCCATCATGGCCAGCTTTAATTAGCCATGATGGGCACGGGTCAAGGCAACACATGGTAGGGCGTACAGTTAAGAGCAGTTTGTCAACTTCCTCCAGGCTGAGCTGACTGAAATAATCCATAACTTGACTAGAAGACCTGCATGGAGCCTCGAGTTCACCTACTGTCGCAACTGTGGCGGGGAGGTCATGGCGGAGCGACAGGACTTTATCTGCAAAGTAGCTCACAAAGGACTCACAGCCAATGTCCAATTCCCTAACATTTGGTCTGCCTTGTGGAAGAACAGTCATAGACTGAATTATTCTAAATAATTGGGCTGGGCATGAGCTTGCAGACACAACCATGGCTGCATAATACTCTCAGCGGCTTTCTCTGCCATCTCATAGGATCTCATAAACATCCTATAAGATGTTCTCGCAAGCTTACCACTACTGTGTCTCTAGCCATCTTAGCCTTCGCTTCATCAGCCACAACTCCTAGGTAAACCAAGGCCACAGAGGGCGTCGGGGAGCGATCTCATCAGCTGCTGAGAGCTGTGCCAATCTTCCACAAACTCATCTAATGAGCCGCCATGGGGCATTGGATCCTGCAGGGCCATTTGAAGTCACATAGGGTCCATTTGGCTCCGCGGGCAAGCTGAAATCTGCTCACCACCCAAACAGGGTTGGGGTGAAACATTCAGATGGGCCTTCAGGGCATGATGGTCTGCAGGGGTCTTGTTGTAGAAAAAGAGCTGCCGGAGCTCATTAGCATAACTCATTAGCATAACTTATTTGCATATGCCACGCCCCCTGACATCACCGGAAGTGACAGAAGGCCACACCCCCTGACATCACCGGAAGTGTGTCAGAAGGCCCGGCTACTTACCCTCCTGCTTCATCCTCATTCCCAAACGGAATGAGGATCGAAGCAGAGGGCGGGGTAAAGAAGGGGGCGGGGCTTCACCACGTGACCGCCCCGCCCCCTAGAGGTTCTCTTCCGGAGCTCCGTACCTGAGAGCTCCCCCCCGACTAGAGCCCTGATGGTCTGACCATGGCACTTCTGAGGCAGTGACCCAGTCCACTGTGATCCCTGCTGCGAAGATCAGATCGAGTGTGTGTCCGGCCCAATGAGTGGGAGTCGTTACATATTGGGAGAGTCCCAGAGCCACCACTGATGACACTAGGTCCGTTGTCTGAGTGGGGGCCACATCATCCGCATGGACACTGAAATCACACAGGACAATCAGTCTAGGGTGTTCCAATGCCCAGCCTGATACGGCCTCCACCAGGGATGGCAGGCAGCTGGCCAGTTCTTTTTTTCATTAAAAAACCAAAGATAAAGTAAAAGCAAAGACAAGTCTTACCTTACAGTAATTATGTTTTGTTGTCATAATTATTACTTTATGTTTGGTTTTTAATATGTTTTTGCTGTTTTGCTGTTTTATTATCTGCAGTATGTGATTATTTTTAAAAGGGAATCTTTTTTTGCCTTAAATTTTGTACAATAATGAAAACACTGTCCTCTATTCATTAAGAAAAATTCAATAAAAAGGTGTGCAGTCCTTTTATCTGGGCCACTTCTGGCTATGGGGATGGTGGAGGCCAGATAAAAATAATTTTTAATGAAGTCCTAGTTTTACATTTAAAATGCTAGCTTATCAGTAGGCTGACATTAAATTGTTCAGTAATTTGTCAGTATTTGGTCAGGGTTTTTTTGCAATTTTGGTCAGTAAAATCTGTATTTTTGACCCTCTCACTAGTTTCCACCAATGTTCCCTCTAAGCTGTGAAGTCTTGTGAGCAAAATTTTGACTTTGTAAGCTACTGGCATTAAAGTTGTGAGCGAGCCATTTGGCTACTGCATAAATTAGTTTGCTCTGGAGCCATCCTTCCTGAGCTAAGACAAAAATGTGTGAGCCAGAGGCCAAAAAACTGCGAGCTAGCTCACACTAACTCAGCTTAGAGGGAACACTGGACTTTCCACCCCTGATACCGCCTTTGTCATTTTGATTCAGTCCAGCAACTCACTGCATATTTCTCTTCTTTTATCTTCAGGCTGGCTCTCTGCACCCCTTTGTCTCGCCTTGGAAAAGAACTTGCAACATTTAGTCAGAGGGCTGTATCTGACACCTTGCTAACAATCAATCAGATGGAGCAGGCCCGCACAGAGTATAGAGGGGCTTTACTGTGGATGAAGGATGCTTCCCAGGAATTGGATCCAGACACCCACAAGCAGATGGAGAAGTTCAAAAAAGTATAAATCCTCAAGACAAAGCTGTTCTGCACCTTGTTCGGATGCCATTTTTCCTCTAGGGTTTATATCTGAGAAGAAATTAGGTGTTGGCCTTGAGTACGTGAGCTGCCTCTTGTACCCCTCCCCAATCCTTCATGCCAACAAGAAGGGAATGGCTCAGCTGAGAGATCCCACATTTATTTGAGTCTCTCCCGATGCCTCCAACTTCACATATTAAGACCAGTGGTTAATAAAATGGCCTTTTAGTTTCAAATGTAACACACTCCCCTTAAAAGTCTGAAAGCAGAGTGAAAATGCAGTAGTCCTTAAACTAACAATATAGGGAATTTGTTATGCTGTAGAGAAAGTTAATGGAGGCCAAATTGGGTACTGGGGTATGTGTGTGGAAACAAACCACTCCATCAGAAAGTTATTCTTCCCTTCATGAAAAACTGCAGAAACAGTTAACCCATTTTTTAAAGCCTATGGCTATACGGATGCAGGCAAGAGTGAGATGGAATCAGTCAGTTCTTCAGACTGAAGGCCATATGCTAGAGGCCATTGGTGCTGGCTTGGGGTTTTAATGTTGCTACAAAGATATCAGTCATGTCCTGGGCATGATCTTGTAGGCTGCTGTACCTGTGTAGATTATCTAATCAGGTCAGAAGGTAATACAAGTATTTTGTAGAGACTGAATGCAAAAGATAGATTTTTAAAAGACCTAAGCTGGTATAATTGTTTTTTTTTTTATCATTGCAGGTTCAGATGCAAGTAAGAAACACCAAAACTCAATTTGATAAACTGAAGATGGATGTTTGTCAGAAGGTAGACCTTCTTGGAGCCAGCCGCTGTAACATGCTGTCACACTTCCTTGCTATCTACCAGGTATCTATTCCAGTTTGAGGCATCATTGGTACCCTTGTGCCACTTACGGATCTGTTTGTTTATATTCTCTTTCTTAATCTAATAATTCTACCCTGTCTTTTCTTCAGAGTGAGGACAATGAATTAAGTGTACTTAGCTGAAGTACAGAGATTTATACTGAATATTTTGTATGTTGTTTGTATATTGTCGTTTTGAGGTTATTGCTATTATTGATACTTTTATAGCAATCAAGTAAAACAATACAACATTAGAACAGTGCACAAAGTACCCAGAATGTAAAGAAAATAAAACCGCACACACTCCAAATCAGTAAATGAACAAATGCATCAGTAAGCAAAACAGCCAATTAAAAATAGAATAAAAAGCAAAGCAACATAGAGGCAAGAAAAGAAAAGCAAATAGCTGCCAAAAGCCCACTGGAATAGGCCTATCTTGCACAGTTCCCTAAGTATACCTAGAGTCCCTCCATGTACCTCCTTAGGCCATTTCAAAGAGTTGGTGCCACCACCAGAAAGGCTAGTGCTGTTGCGGAGGCCAAATGCACCTCCTGAAAAAAGGGATTCACCCACAGGAACCATTGGGTGCTTGACAGCTGTGTATAGGCTGAGGCAGTCCTTCGGATATGTGGATCCCAGGTCATGAAATGCTTGAAGCGTTAAAACCAGGATACAAACAGGAAGCCAAGGTAACGTGTAAAGTTGGGGTGATTTGTTTCTTGTGTCCTCACCTGCTGGTTGACTGGCAGCTACATTTTTCATGAGCTGATGTCTGAGTCACCTTCAGTGGCAGCCCCCTGTATAGCATGTACCGTAGTCCAATCTGGAGATTACAGAACCTTAGATCAGTGTGCCTAGGTCAGTGGATTCAAGGAGAGGAGAGAGAGTGTATGAATATTATGCAAATGACGGCAGTCTTCCTGTCTTTGGTACCACCCTTCTGCTCTCTATTCTTCTTGGTCCTCTGCTCTGTTTGGTTAATCTGGATTCAGTTACTTCAGTTTATATAGGTTAGCAGCCTCAAGCAGCCATAGCTGAGATTCCTGACTACAGTTTTATAAAACTCTTGGGAAAACCAAGAGATGTTCTGAAAGCTAAGAAATCTTGCAAATGCCAAGTCCAGGGGAGCTTAGCCTATTTCTGTTGGCCATTGTCCTCCCCTTTCTAAGCAGTATTATTCTGACAAGAATGGGGCAGCTCTGATATCAGGGAGAAGCAACTGGAGAGGTCTTGTAGGTTCGTCCTTAAGGCCTTGGCATTTCTGAGCTCTTGCAAGCCAGCCCTTTTGCTTAATTTCCTCTGCATTACTTGTGGCAGGCTAGTGAACGGATTGGTGGGATTTTGATTTTTGCAGCAGCAAAAAAATCAGAGCTTCAGCACCATTTTGTTTTTAAGAAAAATAGCTGCAGGAAGGGCAATTCTGCGCAGAGAAGCAGCCAGGGAATGCTTAATCCATTTCCCCACCTGTTTTTCTGCTCTGAAATTTACTGTCTAAGCATTTAGATGTTGGGCCAGAAAAGGATAATTACACTTTCTTGTCACCACTTTTTTTACACCAAATTTCTAATTTATCTTTCCCCCTCCCCAAAATGGTGTTAGGGCATCATCATTACTCATATTTGTGTATAATATTTAGCTAGCTGCCTTTTCATGACCATTTAAAAAACTTTATTGCTACCACTGATCATTGGAGTCTTGAAGCGCTCTGAGGGCCAAATGATGCCCCATAATATTTCTGGCAAGTATAGCTTGTCCACTGCAGTACAACCATGTGGTAAAATATTGTCATGTGTGTCCAATAATACTGACATTTTTACTTTGCTTACTTTAGACCGCTTTTTTGCATTTCTGTGAAAAGTCCGCTCAGAAGATGTCTGAAATTCATGGATGTTTTGCATGTTGTCACTCAAACTATCCTGTGGCCTCTGAGGTATGTTGTATAATTTAACCAATATGGAAAAGTACCAGCTCTAGAGAGAAAAACATGCTGAGATTTGCTGGGTAGTTTGATAATGTTATTGTGTCATCTATGTGTTTTATTCGCTTCATTTTAAAACAGTGTACATTATCTAAAAGTACAGAGTATCATAGCATATTTTACTTCCAGATGTACTATAAATTGTTTTATGTTTAATCTCAGAAAGCTGGCCAAATGAGAAAAAAACAGGAACATCATGAAACACGAAATAAAAGATGTTAAATGCATTTAACAAATAATGGCTGTGTTGTATCCTCCAAAGTTGTGAGAAAGACAGAAGAGACATTATGGATAGTGAATGGTGATTTAGTCTCTCTTTCTTTTGATCTGACCTCATTGGCACACAATAATATGCATATAGGCAAGGGTTCTTTCACACACTGCATACAATATTGTCATTGAGAAAGCACTTAACAGGGCACCAGAGCCAGCCATGATGCCCTGTTGAGTTTAAGTACACACTTTACATTTTCCAGTGTAAACTTAAAATTATACCCATGTGTAGGCCCCACCTATAAGTTGTAGAAGAGGAGAAGGCACCACACCCACCTGTATCTCCCCAGTAATGTCACAGTTTACATGATGCTATCACATTCATATTTCCCTACCCCTACTTGTGAGGGGGCAGCAGCATAAATGCATGTCATCTTCTAGATTTATGATTTTACTGTTTTATCTGGTTTTATGGATGGGTTTATGCCTCTTGTAAGCCGCCCTGAGCCCACTTGCATAAATAATAAATAAAATATATAGATTGTGCCCATATGTCCACCCATAAAATGTGGTTTATGTATAATATGTATACACTGAAAAATACTGTAATGTGCAAAGCAACCTTAAGTTCTTGCATTCACATAGGTTGTTGCTTGTTTTCCAATCTTGGGAAGGTAGCAAATCATCGTGGCTCACTGAGACACTAACTGCTGTAGCATGCTTTCTTTTCTTTCATCTCATTTGAGTTGCAACACTTTCCTATACCTGCAAGAATCTTGGCCAATGTGGAGGGAATTTATTCTTGCTGATTAACACCTCGCTGGAATAAGTAACATCTCTGCAGAAAATCACAATTTACAGAACCTCTGTGCTTTATAAGTATCTTATTGGGGAGGGGAGAAAGGGAGTAATATGGACTGTGACAATGATAAAATAAGTAAGGTTTGAAGAACCTGAGATATGGCTAGTTGATTCAGTTTGCCTTTCTCATGAATGCTCCAGCGATCCATTAAGTCTATCCTTAAAACACAGGATTAAGAAATAGGGCACACTGTCTTCACTGTTCAGAATTTTTGTTTTCCTTAATCTGTTATTCTGGAATAATGGGGTTCCAATTAAAAAAGATTTTAGTAACCTCAAGAACCTGAGATATGGCTAGTTGATTCAGTTTGCCTTTCTCATGAATGCTCCAGCGATCCATTAAGTCTATCCTTAAAACACAGGATTAAGAAATAGGGCACACTGTCTTCACTGTTCAGAATTTTTGTTTTCCTTAATCTGTTATTCTGGAATAATGGGGTTCCAATTAAAAAAGATTTTAGTAACCTCTCCTAGTGAAGTAGGCATTTATTATTCCTTGCCCATATAAGGGGATAGTTGCTGTTCATGTTCCAGTCATAAGGGGGCAGAAGTGAGCTTGTGTAGTTTGGGAGGGAAAAGTAAGCCTAGTCAATGGAAAATTCCACTCTGGTGATGTAAATGATGACGTGTAACCTTGTTGCAGTATAAAAGCCTGGAGCCTGCATTGCTCTGGGTTCAGTCTGTTTAAAGCGTGCTTCGCTGACTGAACCGGCGCCAATAAAGTTCTTCTCCTTCTGTTGATCTGGTGGTCTGTGCTTGGGCTTAGGCCCCTTTCTCCGTGCTACATTTCCCTGTCACATACTTGCAGCTCAGTTGGTCCTGGGTTTGGAAAAAATGAAGACTCCTCTTCTAGGGTTTTGGGGAACCACAGAACTGACAATCAGCATTAAGGTGCGAAATCTGTCACACAGGTGTAAATTTTGAGGAAGTTGAGGTGAACAGTGGGAATCCTGCCATAAATCTTCCAAGGGCGAATTCTCTATGCAATTGGCTAGAACAGAATTAGCAGTTAGCAGGAGAGGGGGGGAGTGAAATCATGCTGGAGTAAACAGAGAGTGAAATTTAGGAATGAAGGGACAAGAAAAGTGTTGTAG